TGGGACTGGGCTGCCCCAGGCCTCCTTTTCTTCCCACCCTCTGCAGAGGAGGGGCTGCTCATGCAAATGTGTTTCCACCCAGGGACTGCCCAGCCTCCCCCTGAGCCCTGGGGATGCAGCTCAGCTCACTCTGCAGACTGACCAGGAGGAAGGTTTGCTTTTCTTTTTCCAAGGCCCTGGGAGGAAGCACCTGTTGAGACCATACACAGGTCCCTGCTCAGCGAGCTCTTCCAGGCCAGAGGGGACACAGCTGCTGAGTCCCCATCAGTGAACACAGGGCCCCGCTCCCAGGCCCGGATTTCTTTGAGTGAATGGTCTTTACTGAGCAGCCATGTAGCAAAAACAGGGCAGCCCCACAGCATCCAACACTGGTCCCAGCACAGGCACTTTCCCACGGCTCAGAGACCTCAGAACCCCGCTGGTCTCCGCAGCTCTCCAGTCACTGTCTGTATTCACATATCCATAGTCTGATTCCTAGACACTGCTTCTCTCATCCTATTCATTATTACTGTGATTTCTCACTCCCAGAAGCAGTCTTGGTGTGTGGGATGTGTAGACCTGTACATACATAACTTTTAAAGGTGTCAGCACCCCAAAAGGGCATTTTAGAAAAATCTATTTGCCGCATGTGCCATCAGAGTGGGCATCATGGAAAATGGGTCAGCTAAGGAGCCAGGTTGAAGGGCAGCTAGGGGCTGTTCAAAAAGACAGTGAATAATGAAAATTTTCCGGGAAAAATAAAGGATCCAAAACACATTAAAGGCAGCAATTCAGCAAAAGTCATATTTACAACTGTTTCCTACATTTTATAAAGATTTGACTCAATTTTGTGGTACAGGAAAACTAATAGATTTGCTAGACTTACCTTTGCCAGTGACCAGTGTGACATATTACACTATTTTATGAAATTAGCCGTTATCTCCCTAAGTAAAACATCATTTTCTGCACAGTGGTGTCATATTTTTTGGTCAAGAAATTGTTCTAGCTGTTATACAAATTGTATTGTGATATTACCACTTATATTTTTTTACTAGGTGTTTTCGGTTAATTAGAAAGATCAGTATGTATTTTACCCACAAAGTTCTCTTGCAAATGAGTTGAGGAGACAAAGGCAGAGACCACCACTTCTCAGTGTAGCCACGTCTACTCTTGTGCTAACTGTGCAAATGACCCTGGAATTCTAGACTCACAAGGTGTTTAGTGAATAATCTAGAATCAGGATCAGTCACTTTTCTCAGACACTCTCTCCTCAAGGCATTTGGAGACATCCCTCTCATTCAGATGGGGCAGGCAGGGCACTCCCTGGCTAAAGACCCTTAAGTAACTCCTCATTGTTATTATAAAACCTGAACCCTGAGGTCTCAGCCCCCTGCCCTTCACACTGTGGCCCCTGCACACCCCCACAGCCCAACTCACAGCCCCTGCCCTTGCTTTTAGGGCTCCAGACTCACTCACTTGTCTTTCCTGGGAAAACCTGAGCTGTCTTTTCCACATTCGCCACATCAGCTTCTCCTCTGCCTGCTGGAGAAGATGGGCTCCTACTTGAAGTCACAGTGTAAGCTTACATTTTGTCCACATTGTACACCTGTTAAAAGCAGAACATAAACATCTCATCACAAGCAAGGATAATTTCAATACTGGTTAGCACGGAAACTTTTGAGTCATACAAATATACAGAGAATTTTCTAACGAATTGTTTGTGCCCATGAGCCAACTTTGACCATCATCAATGTAGTTCATCTTGTTTAATTTTTCAACCCATTTTACCCATCCACTTACTCCCTCGCTGGATGATTTTTCCAACAGATCAATGAAGCAGTATCATATCATTGGTAAATAAATTAACAAATATATACATTTGAAGTGTTCTGTAATTCTTGTACATTAAAGCAACAGATTCCAAGGACTCTCACATTAATAGATTTGTCTTTTATTCCTTTATGTTTAAAATTAATTTATTGTAATAATTGGGAGACTGAAGGAAGTGCAATGAATGCTACGATTTGCAGATGCAGGACTCACAGCATTACATATTGGATTAGAATAAAGTACAGATGGGCACCTACATTCATAATTATTTAATGGCTTTACCCACTCCTCCAAGTGCAGAAATATCTCTTCTGTGGACACAGAGCTCATAAACCCATCATTCTTCCTTCAAGAATTTCCCCATCAAAGTCTATTATGGGACTTGGGACTGATGAGTTTAATGTTTGAATTGCATTGATCGTATGGTTGATAGAAAGCTCTGTAATTAACTTTGTGTTGAAGGATATCTAATGTAAAACTTCTTAGGTATATAAATATTGCTAGATATTTTCCCAACTCACCCATGTTCTGCAGTTTATTTGCTCTTGAGAGATTTTGTCCCCAGAATTTGCTTCATCATCTACTTACTTCCTGTGGTTTTTTAAGCAGGACTGGGAAAGCCCATCACGCCCTCTCCACTTTCTCCACATGAACCCATGGGATCTAGCATATGTGGATCCATGGGAATCAGACCATAAATGAGTGAACAGATGCTGTGATTGGCAGCTGCAGAGACCAGCTGAGCTCTCAAGTCTCTGGGCCATGGGAGGTATGTGTGATATCTATGTATTTGCATATCCATATCCTTCTCCTGATAACGAAATCCAAAGACAAAACTTCATACTTAATATCTTCTTTTGAATGAACTTGGAATTTCAGACACAAAATATCCAGAATTTTTTTAAAAATTATTATATTGATCTCAGATCTGTACGTCTTTTGGGGATTCCAGTATAGGAGAACTCACATATTTAACAAACATGTATTGAGTCTGTCCTTAGTGCCAGGCAGTGTTTTGGGCTCTGTAGCTACAGCAATGACAAGACAGAAAACAAGAGCAAGAATAAACAATCACATGGAGGTTGGATCTCAGCAGGGGAAAACTTTGCATAGAGTCACTAATTGTAAAGAAACATTTTCATGTGGCTGACCCCACCCTGACAAGTTCATCACTCTAGGGATCTGAAGCCCATTGCTGACAGCTGAGAGACACGCATTTCTATAATTCTGAAGAATGGATTGACTTGTTCAAAAGTTGATGATGTTATTTCAATACATGTGTTATATATAATCCTGCTTCAACAGAATGAGCTCAATCTCCTTGGCCTCACAAATGGCTGGGGTCTTACTGTAGGGCAGAAATAAAACAGAACCTTCTCATCACCCAGAAGAATTCCTAAGGGGAACCAGACAACTGAGTATGAGGAGGGAACTTCAATATCAGATAACCTCCCTACTGCTCTGTTTGTGATGGAGACAGAGCAGCAGACACCACAGGCCCGGAAGCCTGCCCTGGGAAGGAGGCAGGGATGAAAGGAGGTAAAGAGAAGGGTGAATAAAAATGCCTGGGAGGGGCCTGGACAAACTGCAAATTAGCGTACCCTCAAATCATGTGTAAAACCAAAAAAAAAAAGCACAAAGGTTTGATCACCTTTGCGGAAATATTGAGAACAAAAATGAAAGAATGCATCCCAATGAAGAAACGTACTGATTTTGATTGTTTGAGATGAGATAGCTGGGAAGTGAATTTGGTGGTTTTTAATAGTTTTATTTTATATAATAGGCATGTATTGCTTTGAAAGTAACTCAATAAAACAAACTTTGGTAATATACAAAACGAATAGTTTCTTCCCTTTGCTCTTAGCTCAGAAAGCCCATACTTTGAAGATGCTTCTTTCTGGAGGAAATCCATTTAGACTCAGCCTTTAGATCTGATCCAGCTGTTAAGGTTCTTTTTGGAATGTAAATTAACTCTTCTTTATTTTTTTTCTAGATCCAGTTACTCCCAAATCATTCTTACATTTCCTACTCTTCAGGGCTTAAGCGGAAATAGGAATCAATTCAAATCCTTCCCTTCCCCTTTCTATGGCTGGTCCACATGGAAGCTGCCATGAGAGCTGGCGTGTCTGATCATGTGATCTCCACATCACAAGGGCCTCGGGAGGTTTATGTCTTGGTTCCTCTTATGAGTCTGTCACTGTGCTAAGCACCACTATAGTGCAGCAAGCAGTAATACTCAGCCTCATCCTCAGACTGCGCACCTGACAGTGTCAGGGCAGCTTTACCCCCAACGAGGGAGCCTGAGAACCGGGCAGGGGTCCAGGAGAGCTTGTTGCTTGTATCATAAATCAGTGTTCTAGGGGCTTGGCCAGGCTTCTGCTGGAACCAGTAGGGATAATGACTCCCAGTGACTGCTCCAGCACTGGAGCCACAAGTGAGAGTGACTGTCCCTCCTGGGGACACAGTCAGTGAGGGCTCCTGAGTCACTACAGCCTGAGAATCGGACCCTGAAACAAAAAAACAGACACATGTTAGAAATTAGAAAGGGAGACACAAGGATCCTTCCAAAGGCTGGTATTTGAAATTTCTCTTAACCTGGGCAGCAAGTGAGGAGGAACTGGAGGAGGAGCAGAGTCCAGGCCATGGTGCTGATATTGGAACGGATCTCTGGCTCCAGA